GGAGGGAAGGTTTAAGTTGGACATCAGGAGGCGCTACTTCATGGTCAGGGCGGCTAGAGTCTGGAACCAGCTTCCAAGTGAGGTGGTGCAGGCTCCCACCCTGGGGGTTTTTAAGAGGAGGTTGGATGACCACCTTACTGGGGTCATTTGACCCCAGTGCTCTTCCTGCCATGGCAGGGGGTCGGACTAGATGATCTGCTCAGGTCCCTTCCGACCCTAGAAACTATGAAACTATGAAATCTTCATTTGGAATGAGAGCACCAATGGTGAGACCATAAATAAGTGCTGCTTACTGCCAGTAAGGGTTTCAGAAATGAGCCCAAAGAAATGCATAGTTAGAATTTTTTTTTTATAAAGATGCAGAATTAAGTTCTTTGGTTCCTGAACCATAACCTCTTTCTATACATTTTCTGAATATGTATAGATTTGTGCATTAGTGCTCATGCACATTTTTCACTGCTTATTTTATTTAATGCTGTTCCTTTCTTATTGTTGAAAAGCAAATGCTATATTTTATAACGCTACTTCTCTTTCTGCCAGTGAAATGAATGGTATTATATTATAGCTTTAATTTATATTTGATGTGGTAAATGTTCTGTAGTAACTTCCATATAGGGATGATGACCATGGCTTTACCGGCTATGATATTCGTTAAATCATCTTACACTGTGTACCTAAATGCCTATCCTCTCCTTCTTTAAGCCTACTGGTTCCTTAGAGTCTCTCTGTATAAATACCTGGAATTTTTACATGAATAATATATTTGAGATATTTAAAAAATAAATAAAAAGAAACCAACAAATAGCAACCTGAATTTTTTTACATCGTAGTTTCATGTGGTCACCTATCCTTTTAATGTACGTGTCTACATTGCACTGTTTGTCTGGTTTAGAAGGTGACTCCTTTGGGCTGCCAGAACATGTTTATGCAGCCATAACACTACAGGCACAGCTTGCAACAAAGAGTGTCATATTGCTGTGCCACCCCAGAAACCATCTCAAGGAATCAGAATGCTTCTTGGAGCTCCCAGGCAGGCATCCTCCAAGATATCCTTTTGTAGAAAGTTTATTGTGTCCATACTGTTTTGGGGGCCAGTGCATTTAGGGGTGACAAGAAACAAGTGATAGGCCTGTCTCATTCCTTCCCTGTTTGAGATTCATAGATCAGAAGACTAGAACAGACTATTGTAATTATCTAGCCTGTTCTCATGCATAACACAGGGCTTCCGCCAAGTAATTTCTGTTTTATGTTTCTGAGAGACTGTGAAGAGAGAAGTAGCTTCCCTCCCAGAATACAGGGTCTGAAACTGTTTAATCCTCATACAGGCTGTGAAGTTTGGAAAAAGGCTTGTTATATTCTTCCCAATCTTCATTCCCACTTCATACCATGCGTGTGGACCAAAGGCAGTGCATGTCTTCTGAGCCCATACGTCAGCTTTTATTCAGCTTTTTGCCTGCTCCTTTGGCAGGAATGAATTCCACAATTCTGTTGCACAGACTTGGCTTGTTAGATGATACGTCAGACTTCCCACTATGGAGCCCGTATAAAAATAAGAGCTGCAGTGTGGCAAATATTTCACAATGTGTAGGTTTTAAAAATAAATATAAAACTCAAATATAACAATCTTATTGTTCAGTGCATGTAAGTGTTTCATTTACTATTGAAACTTCAGTTCAAAACCACTCTGTTGATTTAACTTCTGATACGATCTTCCCCCACCTTCCAAATTCCACTCCAATCAACTAAAAAAATATACAGACCTTCACTTTAGTAATGTCTTTTCCATTCATCAGTGTCACCAAACCCATTGATGCTATAGTCTCAAGTGATTCCAATTTTAAACAGTCACCACCAAAAAAAGGCAGTAAGCAATATATAGCTAAATTTGAATGCACTTCTTTATCAGGGGCATCTCTCCTATTTAGTACTCTTTTATGATGAAAACTTAAAACTTCACCAGTAATATTCTTGTTCCTGGATCCAGGCAATACTTTAAAAAAAAAAGAGTTGTAAACAATAGTATTTAAATAATTATAGTTTGTGAACATGAGGCACTGGGGACTTGATGCAGCTGGAAACTAGAGACAAGAGAGAGGTTGATACTCACTGATTAAAAATGTTTTTTTTGAATACTTAATGTAACAGTGAATGCTGGGTGTAATTAAATATCCAAAAATAGAGAGGAAGTGGGAGTAGGAGGAGCCCACATAATAAGGTTATTTATGTTTTAAGTTTAGGGGCCTCCCAACTAAGACATATAGCCTTCAGCAAGGCCAAGTAAGTTATTGCTTTGCAGTAAGACAAATGTGAGCAAATATTGTCATTCAAAATGTGGTGGATCTTGAGAAACAGTGTGCCAGTTTTTAACTAGATGGGTGTCTCTTTGCAGCTTCTGGATAGCCTACCTCATTTGCAGAGGTGCATGCGGTGGAGATCTGAAGGGCAGTGTGCAGGATGGTAGATATCAAGAGCTCAGCAAAAAGACAGGTAGGGGCATAATTATTTTTCCACAATTCCTTGTATAGTGAAGATCTTCTGGATTCCTGCTGGGTTGGATAACAAGGAGCAGGGAAGGATTGAACGTTATGAATTATTATTTTTAAATTATGGGTATGCATTTATAGGAAGACCCAACATATTCTGCCTTTTTAACAATCTCAATGGAACAAATTAGGATATCTCAGTGATAGGATTCTCCATGTGATGATCTTCATTAAGACATCTTCTTTGGCTTTTGTAATGCAGAGGATGAGGTCCAAAGCTTTTAAAACTTTCCACTTGTCACACCTAAAAAGACTTCTTTTTGGATAGATGGCTTGCTCTAATTCTTCATTTACAGAACATCCATATTGTGCTCTTTCTGTTCTCAAAATATGATACCAGTTCTTGCTATAAATGTAGGAAATGTCTCTAAATTTGATTTTTATTTTTCACTAACATACCTATTTAATGAAGAATGAGTATATTGTGCTGAAATTCATTACCCCACACCATGTTTCTTTTGGTTAGTGACTTAGATAATTCACTTTCTTGTCTCTCAAGGGACTATTTTAAAGAAAGTATATGAAATTCATAATTTTTCTTATGTGGAAAAAGGCATGAGAGGCAAAAAATGCTTTGTGTTCTTCCCCAAAACAAACTCTCCCAGAAATTTGTTTTAGATTAGATTTAATGCTTAATTTGGTCTTGCACATTTTCTTTTTACTTTTAAAAATTACATTTCATCTTGGACCTGACATAATTTAAAAAATCAAATTGTTTCTATATAAAAATATTTTAAAAAATAAATTAAAAAAATTCTCCATTTTTGGACAGAACTTCATTTTTGTCAAATAAACTATTTGACCAAAAATCTTGTCCCAGATTTATTTCTCATGTGATAAAATAATCTTGCTGGAATTATTGCTTTGGAATGTAGGATGCCAATTTTACATTCAATAACTTACAGTCTAACTTTCAGCTTATTTTTCTTTTTTATTGTAGTGAATTGCTGTTTGCTGATACGAAAATGCAAATATGCTATTAAGACATTTGTTTCCATTTATGTAACTTACAAATTAATAATAAATAGATGAAAGAATGAAATCCAGATTTCCTTTGTTATAAAATAGTTCTTCTGAGCTCAATCTCTTTGTTTTGTAAAAACATGCCAAAAACCAAGCAAAAATTTGTCACCTATACATATGAATTAAAAAGTAATGATAATTAAGATCAACATAAGGCAAATGCATAAATCATTCTAATATTTAATTTCAATCAAGAATATGAATCAGTAAAATAAATATAGTCAAATACCTACAAAAATATGGGTAATTCAAAAACTGTTTCATTTCAAATGAATCAAGCCACACAGAATGTGGTTAACATTTATCTGGAATTTTCAAACATACTTTTCACACGAGTGCTTCTGGACAAAAAGAATTAGAAGAATGATTAAGTCAGTTACATCC